AAGCCACCCCTAGATCCTGGTAGGCTCCCTGCAAGATTGTGCACATCTGCTCTTGAATGCTCTCCATTCTTTGGCCAGATAGGAGGAACCAGGCAAAACGCCTCTTGAGAAGACTCCTAGTTGCCCTTTAGATAAGCGCTTGTTTCTTCCGTCCCAGCTCCCCACCCAGCCTCATCCCACAACAAGCCTCTCCATCCCTCTGCGCCTCCCGGGACCTGCTTTCCTTCCGCCACAAAGGCATGATCTTCTTGACACTCTACCTCTTAATTCCTTCCTCCCTCTTAAGATTTCAGCACCCGCATCCCTTCTGCAGAGAAGCTTCTCCTGACCTCCCGGGTGAGGTCATGACTTTGTCAGCGTCCGGTACCGTGCTTGGGGTGCAACAGGTAGATAGATGGTGAGTGTGGTGGGGCCAAGAGTGTCTGGGCCCCAGGAGGTACATCTGCAGGTGGCAGAGGGGACAGCCAGGGCTAACCGCAGACGGACTAGAAAACTGGTTCTGTGCTTTTCAAACTGGAAGGGGGTGAACAAAAGGTGGACAAGACAACAGCAGGAGAGCAAAGTGGCCCTGGATTTCCATGGACGGCCGAATTCCTGAGCCTCCCCACGACCCCGTGAGATAGACCTGGCAGATTGTAGGAGGAAACCCAGGCCCTCACACAGGAGAGACCATGACAAGGGCACAGTGAGAAGGGAGAGTCAGGTCTGAAATGCGGACCCAACTTTGTTCTTGAAAGCCCGTCCCTGGGTCTTCCCTAAATGGTGTTGAAGTCAATGCTGAATGCTGATGGCATGGTCAGCACAGCCCGGGGAGGCTGACAAAACCATCCAGCAGATAAACTGGAGGTAAGAGAAACCTAAGAGGTGCGGTAGGGAATGCTCTTGGATGATAACCAGTTTAAACTGTTGAATACAAAATGGATCTGAAATGTAAATCCCCCAATTTAAAAGTTACTATACGGCTTCTCTCTGCATCACAAGGAGCCCTGGGGATGCCTGGATTAAGTGTTGGCCTACTTACCTGGCAAGGGGGAACCCCAGTGATCACGAAAGGGGGTTTTCCAGGGTGAGGCTTATCCATTGCACTTCGGATGTGCTGGTCTCTCCAATTTCCCCTAAGGTGGGGAACTCGACTGCATAATTTGTGGTAGTGGGGGACTGTGTTCGCCCGCTCCCCTGCAGAGGGGGAAGGAAGTGTAACTGTCAGGGTGGTGGTTCGCACCACCCAGCTGCTCCGAGTGGGGAGATGCACAGCCTTGGGCACCCCAGGCAGCAGGTAGTTGGACTCGGCCCTATGGGGCACCTATGAGTGTGGCAGTGGGGTACTGGCGTCTCTGCAGCACTTGTTTTCGTGGGGATCCCACCAGGGCCTGATTGGCCCAGATGCCAGATGGCTGATAGGAAGGAGAGTGCTGTTCTCTGGTCAGAGGGCAAACCCCCAGAGTCAACAACTAGGTCCTGGAGGAGAGATCTGCCAGGCAGGAGCTGGCAACACCTGCCGCAAGTGAATGCCAGCCCCTCCCTTTCCACTCAGCCCTCCCAGGGAACCCAGGGCCAGAGGCTCCTCTTCCCAGAACCCCACCCTTGGGGACACAGGAGCTCTCAGTTGATGCGTGGGCTAGAAACCTGGTCCAATTTGCACCTTGTGAGTTGTCCCCTGCCAACACCTGGCAATGCCTCGGCCATGCTGCTAGGATCTGGAAGCATGTTTCAAAGTCCAGGGCGAAAGAGAACATCTCTGTCTTACTGCTCCACTTGGATTCAGGAGGCTGCAGTGTGTAGAGCCGCTGCTGGAGCCAGACCTAGGTTTACACCTTGACTCCGCCCTCGTGCCTAGCATTCTCAGTGTGCAGAAATTCAATGACTAGGCAGACTTGCCTCAGGAAGGTGTAGTGTGTATATGTGTGTGTGTGTGTGTGTGTGTGTGTGTGTTATATGTAGATTCTTGTAATCGGTTCCCCCTTTTTCCCCCACCTTCCCTCCACCCTCCCGGTATTGCCACTCTCACCACTGGTCCTGAAGGAATCATCTGTCCTGGATTCTCTGTTTCCAGAGATGCCTTTTAATGAACATCCCCATTGCACGCTTCACAAACATGACCAGCCGTGGGCCAGGCTGGAACGAATCAGGCCTTCCATCTGCAGCGTAGGGGGGGCGCCATGAAAGCCCTTTCTCCATCAGAATAAGGACCCAGCTATTAGCTGTGGCAGGGGTTTTTGCTTGTTTTGGTGGCCAAGGACCCATTAGTCGGCCAGCGGACATTCAATCCATTATGGAGAGAGAAAGGCAGGGGCTCTTAATGGACTTCTTCCACGGTCCTCAAGCCCGCTGCTCTTCTCACTGCATCTGCCCGGCTCCTGGAGCCTGGGGTCTGATACGACGCTCACCATGGCAACGTGAAAGGAGCAGGAGATGCAGACCTACCTGTCTCGGTGGCCCTTCTGGGGCTGCCTGCCTTTATAGGAGATCAGGTGTGCTATCCCCGCTCCT